CGGGTAACCAACGGTCAAATATTTTTGATCTGACCATTGGATCATTTGACCGTTGGAGATCTAACGGCCAGAGGGCTAGTGGACCGCCGACCTGTTGACCGGGCCGAACCTGGCTGGTCCTAATATTAAAAAGAAAATTGAAAAAAAAGATGAAAATAATCCCAACAATGAAATAGTATTTGAATGAAAAAAAAAACACTAAAATTAAAAAAAGTAAGTAAATTAATATCTATTTATAACTCATGAAAATAACTATAATTAAAATTAGATCAAGTGAAAAAATGCTTATGAAAACTATATCACAGGAAATAGAAGGTAATTTGAGTAATATTTATAAACTTTTGCCAATAGATATCAATTGAACTATAATTATTATATTTAGTCAATAAAAATAATGAGAAAGAATGATCTTCTTCCGTAAAAAATAAGAAGACAAAATTATAAACTATCACATGCAATTATTCTTGTAAAAGATTTCAGTTTAGTTTTACTGTGCATACTTGTCAATCTTATTCAAACTAAAAAAATTTCGAACAAACAAGATTAACTTAATTATTTAGGTTTGTCAACCAAATTTTTTGCATGCAATCTTTTATTATTATTTGAAAATTGTAATACGTTTGACATATTCATTATGTAATGTACTTCTTTTGCTTTATTAATTAAAAATAATAATGCAAAAATTGAATAATCTATAAAAATATAAAAGAAAAAATATAATTTAAAATCTTATGAAAATTCAAATCACGTATCACGTGCATCATGCACTTCACTAGTATGTATATATATATATATATATATATATATATATATATATATATATATATATATATATATATATATATATATATATATATATATATATATATATATATATATATATATATATATATATATATATATATATATATATATATATATATATATATATATATATATATATATATATATATATATATATATATATATATATATATATATATATATATATATATATATATATATATATATATATATATATATATATATATATATATATATATATATATATATATATATATATATATATATATATATATATATATATATATATATATATATATATATATATATATATATATATATATATATATATATATATATATATATATATATATATATATATATATATATATATATATATATATATATGGAATGGTTCCAATGCATCAACTTATTTAAAGTGAGGACGTAAGACTCATTTTTAGCCACAAGATTTGGTACATATCATGTGTGGCCAAGATTTACTCTTTTCTTTTTATTATTTTAATTATTTAAATATTATTATGACCCGTTGACTCCAGCATTGACCGTTGACTCCGGCGTTGACCGTTGACAACTAACCTTCCAACTATATTAGTTCTCTGTAGTTGCTAGGTTAGTTCTCTCTAGTTGCTAGGTTAGTAGTTGCTAGGTTAGTTTTCTGTAGTTGCTAGGTTAGTTCTCTGTAGTTGCTAGGTTATTTTTCTGATGTTGCTAGGTTAATTGTCTGTAGTTGCTAGGTTAGTTGTCTTTTGTTGCTAGGTTATTTCTTTCTTGCTGCTAAGTTAGCCGTCTTTTGTTGCTGGGTTAGTTATCTTTAGCTGCTAGGCTAGTTGTGTTTTGTTGCTAGGTTAGTTGTCTGTTGTACGTTGCTAGGTTAGTTATTTGTAGCTGCTAGGTTAGTTGAGTTTTGTTGCTAGGTTAGTTGTCTTAAGTTGCTAGGTTATTTTTTTCTTGCTGCTAGGTTAGTTGTCTTTTGTTGCTAGGTTAGTTATCTGTAGCTGCTAGGTTAGTTGTGTTTTGTTGCTAAGTTAGTTGTCTTTTGTTGCTAGGTTAGTTCTTTCTTGCTGCTAGGTTAGTTGAGTTTTGTTGCTAGGTTAGTTGTCTTAAGTTATTAGGTTATTTCTTTCTTGCTGCTAAATTAGTTATCTTTTGTTGCTAGGTTAGTTATCTGTAGCTGCTAGGTTAGTTGTGTTTTGTTGCTAGGTTAGTTGTCTGATGCTGCTAGGTTTGATGCTGCTAGGTTTTTTTTTTTTTTTAGCAAACAACGCCCCGGAAGGGCGGGGGATTGGGCTGGATCCCCAACCTGTGCATAGATCAGAGCCCCAAAATCGGGGCCCAAAATATCAACGAGCACGATACAATAGTCTACAGAGTCTTCCTAATCAAAATTCAAAAACAAAAGAAAAAACAAAAAAGAAAAGCCGAAAAACGAAAAAGAAACAGAAACTACAATACAAAGTCGATCTTCGGGCTAACAGATGCCCAAAATAAATGTCTAGACTAATGAAAGCAAAAATCCTAAACTACTGAAAGTGGAACGCTGGATATCCAAGCTGGTCCATCCGTACAAGAGTGCGAAGGCGGAGTGGAGCAGTGTCGGTCTGAAATGTATGTGTGTCTGGTACGGTGGCGCCAAGGCTGGCCAGATAGTCGGCAAGTCTGTTCCCCTCACGGAAAATGTGCGTGATCCTGTGATGGACAGACCGGAGTAGAGCTCTAATACGCATAAGCGGGTGCTGAATCTGCCACGAGCCCTGGTGGCCCGAGGTCAAAAGGGTGGCTACAGCCGCAGCGTCTAGCTCGATCCAAATGTGGCTAGAGAGGTGGACAGCAATCTGAAGACCGATCTGTAATGCCTGAATCTCTGCATCATAGCTCGAGGAGGCCTGAAGGGACGCGTGGAAGGCGGTGATGAGGGCGCCACTATGGTCCCGGATCAAGCCTCCTCCTCCGGCAACTCCAGTGTGGCGATCAAAGGAACCATCAGTGTTCAGCTTGACCCACGGAGAGTCAGGTCGAAGCCAAACAACAGCTCTGGGCCGAGGGTGCCGAACAGGTGGTGGTGGGGCCACCATGTAGCGATGTGGTGGCGTGCAGCCTGTCCAGTCTCGGGCCGTGAGCCTGCCCAATGCGATGAGAAGTGAAATTTGTCTCTCTACCTGCAAAACAATGTGAGAAAACATAAAAGTAATATCCCTATGCTTCGCACTATTCCTTTCTGTCCAGGTGAACCAAAGGATCAGACAAGGAATGAGGAAGCCCACGTGTCTAAGGTGTCTTTTGTTGCTAGGTTATTTATTTCTTGCTGCTAGGTTAGTTGTCAACAGGCCAACGTTGGAGTCAACGCCGGAAGTCAACTATTTTTACCGGAAGTCAACGCCGAAAGTCAACGATCAACGCCGGAGTCAACTAATAATTTTTTATTATTTAATTAATGTATATTTTAATTGATTTTGATCTAGACAAAATGAGTGGCTAAGATTGAGTTTCACGTATTTATTTTAAGGAGTGGTCTAATTGAATCCGTCCCTTATATATATATTAATATATATGCTGGCGCGCATGGCCTGGTCAGCAATTTTTAAAATACAAGTACGTTCATGCCCTTGTTTTAAGTAATTCATATCTTCCTGCATCTTCTAGTGGACGTACGATGTTATTACAAATACCTTCTTGCCCCTTTTCTGGCCCAGCTTTTGAAGATATTCTATTTTCTGCGTACAGCTTTTACTCCATCTGTTTATGGATATGCATGACGCTATTACAAGTACATTCTTGCCCTTCTCTGACTCTGCACATGATTTTGACTTAGCTTCCAGTATACAGCTAGCAATGTACGAACCAATCAATTTAGTAGCCAATTCGTAATCAAAGTAATCATACAAATGTATTTCAGTGGCTTCAAAACCTTCCGCCAAACTCTTAGGCATAAAAATATACTTTTTTATCAAACATATAAATCAATAAAAATCACTTGAACAGATTTGGGTTTAAAGCGTGCTGTCTGGAGAACAAACAAATGGATAAGGCAAGAAGCTTCTGTTTTCCTTTTTTGCTTATATTGTTGCAATTGAAAATTTCAATTTTTATTTTTGAACTACAAATTTGACAGGTGGACGAAGTTAATGCTGTCCTCAGTGATGCAATCAAGTACATAGAGTATCTCGAGCAGCGCGTGAGGAATTTGGAGGAATTTCAAGCTGCGGAAGAGTCCACTGAGTCGCAAATCAATGCAGTTAATAATGACCCAAATTTTCCGAATATTAAGGCACGAGTCTGTGAAAAGAATGTTCTTCTGAAGATTCAGTGCGAAAAGGGAGAGGGCAATTTGGGAAAAATACTTGGCGAGTTGGACAAGTTCGATTTGGCCGTCGTGAACATGGAGGTCACACCATTCGGGAGTTCCGCAATCGACATCACCATTACAGCCAAGGTTCATTAAGTTATTTTTATTGGTAATTATTAAGTTATTTTTATATATAAGATAAGATTGGAACTAAAATAATTTAACTTGGTATTATCAATCAGATGGAGAAACAGTTGAGGCTTTCCACCAGAGACCTGCTGAAAGCTCTTAATTTAGTCCTCCAAATATAATTAGTCAATCACCCAATGATGTGAGTGCGTGAGTTAGCTTTATATGTAAGGAGACTATATATACCTCATGGGTGCCTAAGAATGACTACACAAGGAATCTATGAACCTTGCTGCGGATGCTCTCATGTAATATGCTTGAAAATCCTTGTAAAATTTACTGCCTGATAATATTGAGTTTGATTCAATATCAATTACAAAATTAATTAAATGCGAGTACGTTTCGTTCATATGCTGAATTAGTATCCGGTTGCCAAATAATGTTGATTTTTTATTTATTCTTAATTTTCAAAACGATTAGAAAATTAATTCAAGCAACAAAACCAAGATACACCAGGGAGGCACAATAGCCCCATAAAGTTTTGGGCAAATTATTCCTCGACCCAGTTTGAACCGCAACACGCTAACCTGAACCGTCTTGGTGCTTTCGATGACCTGCAATACCGTGGGAGGGGTACGACGGAAAACACTCCGACGCTCAAGTCAGTTCACGTTCAACAATAATGTTATCGGGAGAATAGATTCGCGCGTGTGTGTTGTGTAAAAGTAAGAACCTGTGCCCTTTTTATAGTCAAGGTTGCTATTAGTTTTAGGACTCTTAGCAGAACTGGAACTCTCCTTGGACCCCTCTTTCCATCCACTCAGATCTCATCGTATCCAGAGTCTTTGTAGGTGCAAACTCCTACGCTGAAAAGGACTCACTTTCCTTTCCTGTCTCAACACGATTCCTCGCTTGCTGTCCTCACGACCCTGAAGCTGAGGCGACGAATAGCTACTTCGGCGAGATCGTCTTTCCCACCTTGGTGGCCGACCTCAACCTGCCACCAACTCTAAGAACTCTACCGAGGTGCTCTTACGAAGTGGCTTCGCCCACTAGGCTCGACTCTGCAGATCCGTGTACATGGGACTGAAATACCTAGCTGCTGATCCGAGACGAGCTAATCCTCACACTAGATGTTCTTATCTTGCTATATTATCTATCCCCCATTCTTTGGCCGAACTATGAGTAGCTCGTCCAAGAATGTCCTTTTCCTTGCCGACCTGTTAGTGGCGCGTGCCTTCACCCTTTCTTTCCTACACTAACTGAGCGCGTGTCCTCGGGTATTGAGAACATCTTATCAACCAACTTCCTCCACAAGCTTTCCTAGCTCACCGTGGATCAAGACAAAAAATGAACGGACCCGATCGAGCGACCCTTCACATCGATGATCGTGTTGATACCCAATTTGGTTCCGATTAATTAAATGATAAATGAAATAATAAATAACGGCCCAATAACTAAGGAGCCGAAAATACATGATAAATAAATATACAAACAGGTTCTCAAGACTGATCACCCAAAAGCCGATCGGGTCCCTAGATGTCGAGTCCGTCAGTTGCTAAGCCGTACAGAATTCAAAGTAATCGGATGACACAAATATCATAAAGAAGCCGCCTCCCAAAAATGCTAATTGCCGACAAGATAGACGTTAATCGAAGCTATAAAAAGTTATAAGTGAGCCCCCCAATTATCACCTAGCATTAAATAATAGTGTACTATTTTCTTTTATTTATTTTTCAATTTGTAAGGGCCCTATATATATATGGTTATGGGGAGAGAGAAGGGGGATTTTCATTTTTCCTCTCCTAACAACACAAATAAGAGAACACCATTTTTATGATCGATTCTTCTTCTTTTTTCATTCAAGGGATTCGATTTATATTTGATTATTTGATTGTCCGATTTTCGATATCAACAGTTTGACGCTAGAGAAAGAGCACCATAAGTTATTTGGTTGCAACTCATCGAAAAACGGCTACATTCCCACCAAAAAATATTTTCTCATGATTGGAACGAACATCCATATTTTTATTTTTATTTTTCTACATATCTAATCCCTTTTTAGGTACATCAAAAATATATCCTTTGAGAATGGTGATTTTTTAGGGTTTTATCCCAAGTGTTCTCCAACTTATTTTTTTGAGGGATTTCTGCGTTTCAGCATCTTCCCATGGACAAAATTGAGCCACACCACCTTTTTTCCCATTATCACTTCATTAAAAAGAAAAAAAAAAGAGGGTTTCTTTCATTATGTAATGTATGCGCTGCAAGTGCAAAACTGTGTTCGACGGATTGCACATTTATGATTATCGATTGTGCAATAAAGATTGAAACAGTACAATCTCAAATTTTCAGTTTAAAATTTTATATGTGGTTTGATTACCTATTTTTGCTTTTAAATCACAGTTATTTCAGCTCGATGTCGGCTTTATTTTTAAAAAACCAAAATAACAAACTGCCGCATATTATGAATTTTTTATTTCGAAACGATAGAGATTTTATATAAAAGCGCACAAATGTGCAAAAGAACAGCCACCAGCTAAATACAAACAGCCAATAGCTGAATACAACCAGCCAACAGCTGCATAAAATGGGAGGACAGGTCAAAAGACCGTCTAGAGCCCGACCCCAACAGGGTAATATTCGGGAACACACACAAAATACACTAAAACACTAAAAACGACCCCAACAGGGTAATGCCCGAGTGTGAGGTCCCAACAGGATAATAAAGTCACACTCGAGCTGACTGAGGCCAACGGCCCAAACCTAAAACACAAGACAACACAGAACTAACAACACAACACAACACAGAACAAGAACAACAAATAAGCTAAAATAAACTAAAATAGCCCTCCCTCAGAATAGACATCCGAATTGAGCAACAGACATAGGCCGATTTCGATGAGAGAATCGAGACGCAGGAACCTCGCCCGCCATTGCCTAACGCCTAGCAAAGACGGGGACCTAAGGCTCGAATCAAACCAAACAAAATAGCCCGCTCTCCAACCGCAAGAAATCACAATCGATCCCCAACCGGCTAACACCACTAGCCTAATCCGGCACCATCCCAAAACTGCCTATCACCACTAGCCAATTTCAGAAACGGTCAGCCTCCCACGACCTCGGGAAGAGAGCAAAGGAGGAAGGGATATGAATGGTACCTCAGCCTGGCCGCTCCGATAGATCATGGAACAAATAGGGTGGGTAGCCCGAACACAGATCAATGATAAAAATATTTGACCGTTGGTCAGATTTTTTTCACTTTTTTTTTTTCTATTTAAAACGGGCCCTGGGTTAGGTCAGGGTCCAGGTCGAAATCGGCCCGTCGGGTAACCAACAGTCAAATATTTTTAATCTGACCGTTGGATCATTTGACCGTTGGAGATTCACCGGCTAGAGGGCTAGAATTAAAAAAAATGAAAATAATCCCAACAATAAAATAGTATTTGAATGAAAAAATATCCCTAAAATTAAAAAAAAAAATCAAATTTAAAATCTATTTATAACTCATGAAAATAACTAATAAATAATTAGATCAAGTAAAAAAATGCAATGAAACTATCACATGAAATAGAAGATAATATGAGTAATATTTAGAAACTTTTGCCAATAGATATCAATTGAACTATAATTGTTATATTTAGTCAATAAAAATAATGTGAAAGAATGATCTTCTTCAACAAAGAATAAGAAGACAAATTTGTAAACTATCACATGCAATTATTCTTGTAAAAAATTTCAATTTAGTTTTACTGTGCATACTTTTCATCTTATTCAAACTAAAAAGATTTCGAACAAACAAGATTAACTTAAATAATGAAGGTTTGTCAACTAAATTTTTTCATGCAATCTTTTATTATTATTTGAAAACTGTAATACATTTGACATATTCATTATGTAATGCACTTCTTTTGTTTGATTAATTAAAATAATAATGTAAAAAATTGAATAGGCTAAAAAAATAAAAAATAAAAAATAATTTAAAATCGAATAAAAATTCAAATCATATATCACGTGCATCATGTACTTCACTAGTATATATATATATATGGTTGGGTACAAGTGAGAATGATGCTTAGTGAAAGAAATAAGAATGCATCTTAGTCATACAATCTGAACATCCAATGGCAAAAAATAATCCAAATATTTACACTTATTAAAAGCTTATTAAGGGCATATTGGACATTTGCCTTATCACAACCCAATCACCCACCTATCCCACACACCTGTGGGTCCCGCCCCTACCAAATCTCACCCTTCCTCTTCCAATCTCTCTCTCTCTCTCTCTCTCTCTCTCTCTCTCTCTCTCTCTCTCTCTCTCTCTCTCGTACATACTCCATCCCAGATCTCAAAAAATTGCCGCCGCCTCCGCTGCCTCTAAACCCGCCGCCGTCGACGCCTCCTCCGCTAAACACACCGACGCCAGTGAACCTCCCGCCGTCGCCGCCTCCTCCTCTAAACACGCCGACTCCACTGAATCTCCCGTCGTCGCCGCCCTATTTCTAAGATTTCTGCCGTTGCCCGTTTTCTGAGATTCCCACCGCCCGTTTTCTGAGATTTTCGCCGCCGCTAAACCCAAGCTGTCGCCGCCTGCGTTTCTCATCTGTCGCCGCAGTCCTGCCCTCTCCATCATCATCCAGGCCCGCTCGAGCAGAGGTGGCGTCACATGGTCGAGACTCACTAGGAGCTCGACGACCATCGCGTCGTCTGAAGTGGTGTGACCACTCCCCGTCGGCACCACCCATGGCCGTCGTCCAAATCCCGTCCGCCGTTACCATCATCATCCTCCTCAGCCGCCACGCAAAATCCGCAGTTGCACACTCCCGCTGAAACTATAATGTATGCAAAACGCTTATAAAAAGTGATTTTTACCCATTATAAACAGAATTTTCGTTTTATTAGTGGAAATCAGTTATAACAAAATATATAAAAGTAAATTAGCTTGATGAACATAGAAAACATCGTCAACATAAATCGAATTTTCGTGATTTGTGGTGCCTAACGTGGCTTATAGGTTATTTTGTGATGACTGTAATTTGCTCCAATGAATTGTGGTGACGACTGTATTTTTGAAATAAAAAAAATACTTAAATGAATAAATAATATTATCTATATATATATATCTAATAAAAATTACTATTTATTGAAAATAGTAGCAAAAAATTTAGGAAACATTTAATGC